CCACACACACACACACACACACATATTCTCACATCCTTCAGTTATACTTCAACCATACCTTATACTCGTTTAGACTCACACACTCCGCGACCAGATGGCGCGCTCTCATGAACACGATACTGAATTTCCCATCTAGATATACCTTCTTCTTCTTCGTTCTTTTAACCGCCGAGATACATCGAGAGAAACACGAGAGACATCGAGTTAAATTATCGCGATAAGATATTGTATGTGATAATAAACGAACGTTGTTATATATATATATATTTGTGAATCTGAATTTCCTTCATTACCTACGTTTATTATAATATATATAGCAATTCGCTACAAAACGTATCTATCTCACTTTGAGTTCCAAAAATGTACACTAGCCACAGAAAAAATAGACCTTGTACAAATAGAGCGAGAATTAATAATTATTTAGAAGATATTCTTCACCTTCAATTTCTGTGAAATTATGCTCATTCAACGCGTTTCTGCATGAAACGAAAGAATTTGGCAGTAAAATGTGCCTAGATCCGCGAACTGAGATATTAAGCGTTGAAGTTGACGACTATTGAGGTTAAGATATCTGTCAGCTGCGAAATATCGCAATGAAAGCATGTGCTGCGATCACATTTTTATGCTTTATGTGCATAGGTTTCTTACTGACTTTCTTCTACAGCAATATATTAATGTTTGTTTATTAATATTCAAATCGTCTTCCTTTCATTGTTTAAGGGTTTATAACTTCTCGTATATAACAAGAACAGAGCAAGCTTTCGTTTTGAATAAAAATGCATCGAATGAGCTTAATTTCATTAAAATCAGAGGTAACGATCCTAAATGAATACAGACTAAAATGTGCACATAACGCTGCATTAAGTCGGTGTGACACATTTCCTAACCGTAATATCGTTAACTTTAACGCTTAATATCTCGGTTTGCAGGCCTAGGCATGACATTTTATTGCCAGATTTTTTCGTTTCATGCAAAAATGCGACAAATGAGTATAATTTTATTAAAATTGAAGGTGAGTGGTATCCTCTAAATAATTATGA